ATCGACTTGACCACTTCCACCCAGTCACATGACTGCCAAGCCACTCCCACCCAGTCACATGATCACCAAGCCACTCCCACCCAGTCACATGATCACCAAGCCACTCCCACAAAACAGGCCACACCTACAGAATAGGTTCTAAACCACCACTGGACCAAACCATAGGTTTTCCTACAGTCAACTTTACAAACTGTACCTAAAATTACTTTTCCTAAATGAGTCATTTGTTAAGTGAGTTTTGCCCCGTTTTGCAACCTTTCTTGCCACAATCGTTAAGCAAATCTCTGCTGTTGTGAAATTGGTAACACCGTTGTTAAGTGAATCTGGATTCCCCATTGACTTTGCTTGTTAAAAGGTCACAAGACTTGACCCGGGACGCTGCAGCTGTCATAAAGAACCAGTTGCTGGGTATCTGATCTCGTGACCGTGGGGATGCTGCAACAGTCGTAAGTGTGAAAAACGGTCACGTCCCTTTTTTCTGCGCCGTTGTAACTTTGAACAATCACTAAAGGAATTGCTATAAATCGAGGCGTATCTGTACTCAGCCAACCAATCAGTCAATTATTTTTGACTTAATAGTACAACTCTTGAGGGGTTTGGAGGTTTATAAATGGAGGGGAGGATCGTCATATATTCCACTCCTCACTTAAATGATGTCAAGCTCAGGAAAATCAAGAAACCCAATTCAGTATTAAGGTTTATTGCAAGCTTAAGCTCTCTGCAAGAATCTGAACTACTATTTGTTGTTCTTAGTTGCGAAGTTGTGTCCAACCCATCGTGATCCCATGGAGAATGTTCCTCAAGGCCTTCCTGTCCTCTGCCATCCTCTGGAGTCCATTCAAGTTCACGCCGACTGCTTCAGTGACTCCATCCAGCCACCTCATTCTCTGTCATCCCCTTCTTCTTTTGCCCCCAATCTTTCCCAGCATGAGACTCTTCTCCAGGGAGTCCTTCCTCCTCATCAGGTGGCCAAAGTCTTTGAGTTTCCTCTCCAGGATCTGGCCTTCTAAAGAGCAGTCAGGATTGATCTCCTCTAGGACTGACCAGTTTGATCGCCTTGCAGTCCAAGAGAATTTAGTTTCACTAGTTTAGTTTATTGCACCTCGTACAACATTAAATGCCATCTTCAGTGTACATTATAACTATAAAAATAATAATAACTCCTGTGAGTCCCTTGGCCTTGCAGTCCAAGGGACTCGCAGGAGTCTTCTCCAGCACCAGAGTTCAAAGGCCTCCATTCTTTGGCGCTCAGCCTTCCTTATGGTCCAATCTTCATAGCCATCCATTGCAACTGGGACAACCACAGCTTTGACTATGCACACTTTTGTTGGCAGGGTGATGTCTCTGCTTTTTACGATGCTGTCTAGATTTGGCATCACTTTCCTCCCCAGGAACAAGGGTCTTTTAATTTCTTGGCTGCAGTCCCCCATCTGCGGTGATCTTGGAGCCCAGGAAAGTAAAATCTGTCCCTACCTCCATTTCTTCCCCATTATCTATTATGAAATTTATTAAAATCTGTATTGCTTAGAAACAAAACAGAGATTGAAGTGAGAAATCAATAAAATTGGAGCAATTTTGGGAAGCCAATGGAGTTTGAATGGAGTTAAACAATCCCATTCAAAGCCTAAGGAAATATATTTTGGCAATTTTTGTTTTTATTAAAAAAAAGACTAAATGCAGAAATAACAAAAATCCTATGTTAGCACCAGGAAAAACCAGGCAGCTAAGCCCTAGTCACACCTGCAGATACCTTTTTCTTCTTCTGCAAAAGGCCAAATTAGCAAAAGGATACAGTTGCTTGCAGCTTCTCTAAAAACTGTCTCTTGGTGACAGCTGCCTCGGGGACCGTTTTCAAATCCCTGCACTTCTCCAACAACCTGTGTATCAAGAGGGAGAAAAGTGGGAAATAATAAGCCCCCCAAAACCACCCCCTGGGATACACTCCAATCTTTAGACCTGGCTTGTTACTGCCTGAAGAAGAGATATTCTTGCCAGTTACACTTACACTGTTGGCAGAACACCAGGGGTGTTCAAACTTGACAGCTTTAAGACTTGTGGACTTCAACTCCCAGAATTCCTCCTCTGATGATGTGCAGACGGGCTTGGGGGGGAGCTGGAACCGGTTCTAAACGGCACTGTAGATTTGTGGAACCTCTTCTATAGAAGAGGTTAGAACTGACAGGAACCCACCCCTGTTCCTGACTCACCTCTGAAGGCCGCAGAACTAAGGTCACAAAATCCCTTTTGAATCCTACGTCCCTTCTGCAAACTCCCCCAACCTGGGTCATCCAACCCAGAAAGGCCCTCAAATTTCTCCCACCTTTCCTAGCAACTTGTGGATTAGGCTAATTTGGATAAGCTTACCTGGAATACTTGGAGAAAGCTTTCTGATACGGAAGGGGCAGTTTTAGCGAAGACCTGCAAAACAAATAAAAAATGCTTGGCATTATCGTCCTTGGTAAATGCACAACCCACCAGTATTGGAAACCAGGAGAAATCTTAGCCAGCTCCCAGATGGAAAAAAAGACCAGAAAATTGGTATTATGCAAAATGAGGACAATTTACTGAAACAAATTAGGGATCAAAGTCAAATGCATATAAAAAGGTTATATAATGTATTAATACAAATGGATTCGGAAACAGAACTATTTAAAGATTGCATGATAAAGTGGGCACAAAATTTTGAAGAACCAATAATGTTGGATACATGGTAAAAGATATGGATAAGGAATGTAAAATTCACACAAGCCCAAAATCTGAGAGAATTTTTATAAGATGTTTTATAGAAGGCATTTCTATTAATACATTATATAACCTTTTTATATGCATTTGACTTTAATCCCTAATTTGTTTTAATAAATTGTCCTCATTTTGCATAATACCAATTTTCTGGTCTTTTTTTCCATCTGGGAGCTGGCTAAGATTTCTCCTGGTTTCCAATACTGGTGGGT